AGGTTTTATGGATTGTCTCTGTTCTCCTATTTTTCAATTGCCTTGATTTCTGCTCAACTTTTTATTATTTTTTTCTTCTGAAAAATATTCACTGCTCAGTGCACAGGTGAGGTCTCCCTCCATATCACCTCTCTCTGTGGACATCCAGGAGGCCATTCTTTTAAAGACAGTGCCTGGAAAACAATACAACACCTGGGTATGTTCTGTAGCTGCCCAGGGCTCACTGGGGACACTAGAGGTCTAGGAAGCTGTGCTAAGATAGGAGTCATTCTCATAGCAGCCACAGCCCACTCTTTGCTCAGAATAAAGGTGTTGCTAATTAAACACTCACAGTTGCTTTTTTAAAAATATTTGATTTCAACACAGGTCATCTGCATTCTGTGCTAGTGCAATCAGATTTCAGATGTAGATGAAGGCCTGTGCATTTGTCTCTGTGGCTGTCTGAACCCTTCATTTCAACTTACTGAAATTGTTTATTTGATAAACATTTATTAAGCACCTCTTAAATGCCAGGTCCTAAGTTGTGGTCTTTTATAAATGCATTAAGCACAACTGGCTACCATCTCTAGAATCACTACCGTTCTCACCCCATTTCATGAGATTTTCTTCTGAGTTTTGTGAATCTTACGGTTTGATGCAATAGTCTGTCTTCAGCCAAGTTTTTTGCTTGTTTGTTTGCTTGTTTTTGTTGTTATTTTGTTTTCTGAGATGAAGTCTCCCTCTGTCACCCAGGCTGGAGAGCGGTGGCACGATCTCAGCTCACTGCAACTTCCACCTCCCGGGATTTAAGCAATTATCCTGCCTCAGCCTCCTGAGTAGCTGGGACTACAGGTGCGTGCCACCACACCAGGCTGATATTTTTGTATTTTTAGTAGAGACGGGATTTTACTGTGTTGGCCAGGCTGGTCTTGAGCTCCGACCTCGTGATCCGCCCGCCTTAGCCTCCCAAAGTGTTGGGATTACAGATGTGAGCCAGCACACCTGGCCTCAGCCAAGTTGTTATAAAAAGAGTGAGTAGCAAGGTCTAAGTGCAGATCCCTGTGGCAAGCTATGAGGGACTTCTCTCCGGATGAACTCTCCTAGCCTAATAGACTCTGTGTGCACGTGTTTGCGTCCATATACACTACATCTCTCACATAGAAAAGTTTTAGATGGCCAGTTCTAAAGACAATGTCATGAAGCATCTTAACATATTTTTAAATTGTTTGCTACTTTAGTAGACAGAAAAAATATATTTGTTGAGCACAGATGTTTCTGTCTATTACGAACTTTAAGTGATACTGTTAAGGAAGAAGGGCAACCCTCCAAGGGCCCGGTTTTGGGGGGAACACTTGCCCTTTTTACTTTTAACCCGGTTCAGAGGCTGAGGTTCCACCATAGTTTTTCATTTTTCATCATCCTTCTCACTTGACAACAGAATCTCCCATTGTGATGGTCTTTCCGTCATTTACCTCCCCTCTCTCCTCCTTCTTCTGTATTTTTATTTTCTTATACTACTCATGTCTTCCTGTTGTTTTCCCACTAGGCTGCTTTATCAATATTTGGTTTGTAAATATTGATTTTCTAAATTGCTGTGCTCGTAGTGTTTAGCCAGCATACTCCATTTCAATGAATCACTTGTAAATCCATTCATTCATTTGTTGTCAGCCCTGGCTGCACACAGAAGTGCCTAGTAAGCTTCCAAATTCACCTTGGCCCCATCACAGACCAATGAAGCTAGAATCGCAGGAGGCAGGGTCCAGGTGTGGACAGTTGTCAAAAGTTTCCCAGACAATACTGTCATGCAGCCAAGGCTGAGAAATGCTGATTTCACAGATATTACTAAATGTTTCTATGACCAAGATAGGGGGAGGGTCCTGGAGGAGTGATAAGGAGGGCTTCCTGGAAGAAGAGAAACATAAATGCGGTGGGTTGGATTTCCCAGAGAGGAGCACAGCAATATGACCCGCCCCACAAGCCCCTCTGCAGCCAGACCTTGCCAGTCTTCCCTCTCGAACCTGGTGTGGGCAGGTCCTGTGACTGCTTTGACCAACAGAATGATGGAAATGACACTATTTCCACTCTGGGCCCTTAACTGGGCTCTGCTGCCTCTCCTGGTAGCTCCTATCTTTCAAGGTACTGGTCCATTTCATCTAAGTTATCAAATCTGTGGGTATTGAGTTGCTTGACTTATTCCTTTTATGCCATTAGTGGCCGTGGGATCAAGGGTAACGACTTCATTTTCCTTTCTGATATTGGTAATTTGTGCCTTCTCTCTTTTTCTCTTTGTTTGCCCGGCTAGAAGTTGATCAACTGCACTGAGCTTTCCAAAGAATCTCTGCAAGTTTTATGGATTGTCTCTGTTGTTCTCCTGTTTTCAATTGCCCTGATTTCTGCTCAATTTTTTATTATTTTTTTCTTCTGCTGGCTTTAGGCTTGAATTTCTCTTCTTTCTCTAGTTTCTTAAAGTGGAAGCTGATGTTACTGATGTTTTTATCTTTTTCTTTTCTTCTTTTATTTTAGTTTTTGGAGACACAGGATCTTGCTCTGTTGCCCAGGCTAGAGTGCAATGGTGCAATCATAGCTCACAGCAGCCTTGAGGTCCTAGGTTCCAATGATCCTCCTACCTCAGCCTCTGCAAGTAACTGGGTCCTACAGTGCAAAAGCAGAAGCTTCTAGGACCTCTTAAAATGGAGGCTTGCAATGGGCACAGCCCCCTGCCAGCCCTTTTGTTAGTTAAAGTGGGTTAAAATCCCAGCTGGTTCAAGGAGAGGGGACTGCGCAGGGCTGGGAATCCCTGCAGGTATGGCTCATTGACAGTCACCAACCTCCGGAACCATCACTCTGACCCTTTTCACAGCCCATCCAACCTTAGTTGGAGCCCAAACAAGAACCTGGAGTCTTCAAAGAACGATAGGTGGGAAAGGCACACATTGACTGCTCTCTCTTTGATTTCAGCCTCAAGAAAATGAAGTCTGGGATCTCCTTCCCGACTAAGGTGTCATCCCCACTGCAGCAGCAGCAGCAGCAGCAGCAGCAGCAGCACCCGGAATTTGTCAGAAATCAGAATCCCAGGCCCACCCCAGACACAGAGAACCGGAATTTGCATTTTAATGGGATCCCAGGGGACTGAAATGCACCTTAAGGCACGAGGAGAAAGAGCTCTAGACTCTCCACCATCTAAGAGAACTTGCACGCCAGGTTTGCAGAGCAAAACCCAGAGAACGATGGCAAAGGCTGCCGCCACCACCACACAAAATCACTTCTAAGGGGACCCTGGAAATGAGAAGCAACCTTTCTGTTCTCAGACATACGTCCCAGCATGTAAGGCTCAGATGCAGCAGGGAGAGGGGACAGCTTGGTTTCAGACAGTACATTCTGACCACTCGCCCAAAAAGGGCCCCTTCCAACCCAAGGCTCTGGGAATCCAGGAAATCCCAATTTAGATATGCAGCTTTGGAAACTGGCAGCAAATAGAGAATGGAATCCGGAAGCCCCTTGCCATTGTGAACGCAAAGTCTAGACACTGGAAAGGGAGCCACCGAGGCAGGAAGAAGTGAAAGTCCCTTTCTCAGCGATCTACCTTCCAGGAAGCAACAACCCAGCAGGTCTCAACAAAGCCCCGAGGCTGTGATTCAACTACCCCTGGGGCAGGTCCAACGCACTGTTATCATACTCTGTGAGCCTCGTCCAAATACTCACACACCCAACCTAGTGCTTCCTCGCGATAACACCAGTAGCAGGAGCAGCCCAGTGTCATCCTGCACAAACAGGTGGTGTTTATGTACGGCATGTCACCCAGAGCCATCTGACCAGCCGTGCCAGCCGGGAGCAAAGGGGGCTGATAAAGGCAGCTTATCACAAAGGATTAGCAAGTGTTATTTTCTTTCTGTTTGTTTGAAGTTCAGTATTTGGACAATCGCCGTGAACCCCAGCGTGGCCAGGGCCAAGTTTAACAATGACGGGCAGAGATTGCTCGGGGAAGATGAAATGACATGAGTGAGCCGGTGTTGTGCAGGGGAGACCCGCCGCAGGGATTTGTTAGGCTGGGTTTTGACGGGTGGAGACAACATGAGGATTAATGAACCGCTTTGGCTTTAGACAAAATAACCACGTAAAGTAAAACTTCTGTGTGCACCAGATCGGGGCTTCTCAACCTAGGCTGCATGTTAGAATCACCTGGGGACTGTTACCACTTTGCCACACAGGGGATGCCCCCAAAGCAATGAAACCCCGGTCTCTAGAGGTAGGAGTCCCACATTTATTCCTTAAAGGTTCCAGCGTGCAACATGGTTTGAGAAGTGGCTCCCTGGAGCGAGGCTTCCCCAGCTTTCATGTACATTCCAACCACCTGGGGAGCTGGTTAAAATGAAGATTCTGATTCAGCCTATCAAGGGTGGGGCCTGGGGTTCTCATTTTTAACACCCTCCCTGGGATGCTGGTGCTGCTGGTCCAGGACCACACTTGGAGCAGAAAAGAGAATTGACTGCTGTCCAAATGTCCCCAGCATCACCTCCAAATCGTCTGTGAGGCTGTCAGAGGAGTATAGCGGTTCTCGTGGGTGGGGGAGGTGATGGCCAAGTTACTAATTGATGGGAAAGAGATGAGCAGAGCTCGGAGTGAGGGGCTCCACTCCCAGAGAGACCGCCACTGGGCAGAATGAACACGGCCGGGTTTTGTGAGTTAACCAGGTACGGATTAGAGAATAAAATCTTGGCCAGGCACGGTGGCTCATGCCTGTAATCCCAGCACTTTGGGAGACTGAGATAAAGGGATTGCTTTAGCCCAGGAGTTCAAGATCAGCCTGGGTAACATAGTGAGACGCTATCTCTATAAAAAATACAAAAATTAGCTGGGTGTGGTACCATCCTCCTGTAATCCCAGCTACATGGGAGGCTGAGATGGGGGGATCCATTGAGTCCAGGAGATCAAGGCTGCAGTGAGCCGAGATCACTGTGCTCCAGCCAGGGCAACAGAGCTGCCAAGACCCTGTCTCAAAAAATAAAATAAAATAAAAAATAAAATAAAATAAAATAAAATAAAATATCATAAATATCACGACAAAATTTTAAAAACACGTCTTTACTGGGATGTGATTCACACACTATAACATGCTCCCATTTAAAGGGCACAATGCCATGGTTTTTAGCATATCTCGAGAGTTGGGCGACCATCACAACTGTCTGGATTTAGGAAATTTGTCACCTATAAAGGTGCCATTTCAGGCCACCTTCTTCCCATCACCTCTGGGAAGACTGCATGCAAGAATACCCCAGTAGGAGTCGAAAGAGTTGAGCCCCTGGTTAGAAGCACAGGGTGTCATCATATCCTTAGTAAGGGGAGGTTGTGGACACAAAGTGTGTCACTGACCCCAGGAAGCCCTCTGTGATGCCCCCAGGCCAGAGTATATCCACTTCCACCATGTTCTCAAAGCACCCAGCTTACCTGCCATTCCCATCACCCAAGCCAACCAGGCTGGGGATCCCACCAAGTCAGGACCTGTGTTTTTCATAAATCTAGCCCCAGACCAAGCCTCATTCCAGGCCACAGTAGGGTGCAGTACACATGTGGGCTGTGAGCTTGCACCAAGACCCTGCTGTGCTGTAGTGTAATGTCTGGAGACGGGTACGGTGTGTTCTGTTCTTGTCCTCTATGATTGTAGTAGAAAGAATGCTCAATTACCAAGAAGTCTGCATCTGAAGCTCACAGCCAGCATCTCAGTGTCCTCAGATGTAAACTACAGACAACCTCCCTCCTGGGCCATTAGCCATCCAGGGCTTCTATAACCTGGGAGCAGTGAAGATTAGATCTCCTCAAGGATGGAACTGGAAGCAATGAGTTCAAGGTTGGAAACAGAGATTCCCCTGATGTTGGAGGTGTCTTTTAGGTTGGTGAGTTCCCATTCCTGGAAGTATTTTAGGTAAATGCTGATCCAAGATGTTACCTAGGAAAAGTGGGTGACCTTGAGGATCTGTTGTAACCTTGTGCTTCTGTGATGAAGTTTTTCCCTCAGGAAAAAGATGTATTCTTACTAAGCACTGACCATGTGGTGCTGAGTTTTGGAGGCAAGCTGACCAGGAGGAGAATGGTTCCACAGACAGAGACGGAGGACCTCAAGAAAGAAAAAGTTCATCTTAACCAGAAGCCCATAAAGAGCTCTTACGGCCCTAGGCAGTGTTTGCGAAGCATCTCAAATGCTGATGGTTCCCTGCTGATATTTTCACTAAGGGGTTTTGTTTAGGGTGGCAAAACTGAAATCTATATTTTCCAGAGTCTCATTAGTGGAAGCAACGGGGCGGAGATTTTAGAAACACATTTTAAAAAGAGAAAGACATGGTTGGTCTTGTGCTCTTCCCCTTTTCCCTTCCTCATGCCTGGATCATGGAATCCATCCAGTGACAAGGACCGTGACGGTCAGTTGTCAAGGATGGCAGGGCAGGAAGTCCCAAGGACATGGATCCATGACAACACTTTTAGGTGAGCATAATGGCCCTGAAGTATCTCCAAGCATTTATATGGGGAAAAAGTTTTTTTTTTTTTTTTTAAAAAAAGAGCACTGATACATTGATTTGTTTAAGTCACGCTTGACTTTTTAATTGCAGCTCAATGCATTCCTAACTGAAAGCAATCGTTTTTCCTGACCCTTCCTATATGCAATAGAGATGGCAAAGACAAGAACAAACAAATTCGGCCACTTTCTGTGAGATTACACAAGAATTCTCCATCCTATTCACTATTCCAGGCAGACAGCTGTCATTTGCTGTCTGTGTCAAGCCTCCCCAGCTTTGTCACTGTTGGCATGTTAGGCTGGCTGCTTCTCTGTGACAGTGCTATCTTGTGTGTTGTAGGAAGTTTAGCAGTACCCCTGGCCTCTACCCACCAGATTCCAGTAGCATCCCCCGCTCCCCATTTGTGACAACCAAAACTGCCTCTAGACACTGCCAAATGTCCCCTGGGGGAAGCATTGGAGAACCATCATTGTAGACATTATGGGAATTTGGCTTTGACTCGTGGGATTTTGAGCAGAGGAGGAACCAGACCTGACTATATTTTAAGAGGATCTCTTGCTCTCATGTGAGAATGAACTGTGCAGAGGAGGTTCAGAAGGGCCCAGGAGCCCGTGAGGAGGGGACTGAACTAGTGCTGGAAAGGCAAGGGGGCCTGTCTAGGATGTAGTGGGAGTTGACGGGAAGGGGTGCATCCAAGATAGATTCTTTGAGCTTTTGGTTCCATGGAGATGCCATTTTCTGAGGTGAGAAAGGTCAGGGGTGGACCAGGTTACCAGATGCAATCAGAACCTGCAGAGACTGGGGCCCCAGGGGTGCTGATATGGTGGCCGGGGGGCAGTGCACATTCTTCACCTTCAATAGCCAAGATCTTTACTTTTAACCCAGTTCTTGGCATCAAAGATCCACCCACATGCACAGGCCCCATGAAGGCAATCATCACATTTTACCATATGGTTTGTCTTTTCAGAAAATTCCTGAGCATTTCCCTGAAAGAGACTGAAATCCATTTTTTCACATCTTTAGGCACAGTCAATTAATGCATAAGGTCAAAGTACTAATCATCTATTCAAAGACAATTCTATCACCAGGCCTCCAAAGGCATGAAGTGAATAGACCAGCCTGTGATACAGAATTCAAATTCTCCCATTCCCATCGGAACCCTGTCAGGGAGGAGCGGCGGTCACAGGCAGTACCTGCCATGGGACATTGCTGTGTAAACCTCCACCCATCAACAGCCACCCAGCTGACCACACGGTCCCCAGCATAGAGTGGACACCTCCTTTGTTTACAAGTTGACACGTCTGGAATACACCCAAAGCATGCACCAGAGATAGTCATTCATTTATCTGCACCGCCTGTTTTCAATAGTCAGATTCTCACGAACAAACCTCGTTCACCCGCACCAAAAATAACATGAACAGTTTAGAGGAATCCAGGCCCTACTTGGTGCTGCACAGAGTTTCACGCAAGCCATCACAGAGGGCCAAACCAGGACCTTCGTAGGTGATTTTACGAACAAGGCAGAATATTGATCCTGAGAGCTTCCCACGGGCTTTACGATGAAGACCAGCAGAGTCTAGCCAAGAGCATTTTCACAGGCTAGATTTAATTATGATCAGAGATGCCCTCATCATGCCTTTCTGCTCTTGGTGATTAAACCAAAGAGAATAAAGACATTTAACTAGACATGAACTGGAAACAGATTCTAGTTCAAAACCCACAGAGAGAAGAGAAAAATACAGCAGATTGCTGGACAGAGCTTGAGCCGCCTTGCTCCACCTGATTTGACAATTTCCTTTAGGTTATTCTACCAGCCAGGGTGGACTAGATTTGCCACAAGAACACACAACCCTCTTTTGTGCAACCTTGATTTTGTTTTTCTACTGTGCTTCTGTGGAGAGCTGTCACACCACCAGCATTCAGATGTTGCCAGCCACCATGGCAGAGACAAAAGAAGTCGTGGTAAATTGCACCCCGGACATAAAGCCTCCAGCCTGACAGATATCACTTCTCCACATATTTAGTTGCCTGAACCTTAAAGCCACAGAGAAATTCTACCTGGGCCCGGAAGTTGGCAATAGACCTGATGGTTATGGCGGTGACTCATATTTTCTTTGGCTGCCCAGATGCACACAGGCTGGTGGCTATTTTCAAGGCTGCATTATAATTATTTTATAATCGTCGTGATCAGTCCTAATAACACATAGTTAGTGACTAGTTCCCAGGGGCTGGACACCTTGCCCTGTGCTTTATTTCCATTAATTCATTCTTTAATTAATTCATTCAACAATTATATACAGGGTACCTACTGTGTGCGGAGTGTTTCGCCAAGCAACTCACAACCATGATTCTTCTTTGGAACCGCCCTGTGGGACGGTGCGTGAGTCAGGATTTGTAGTTGCAATAACAGAACCCACTTTAGGAAGCTGATGCAGAAAAGGGAATTTATTCAAGACTTCTTCTCACATTGTCTGTGGGACGTGTGGAAACCAGGAGCAATGCCTAGATCCCACTGGAGTGCCCTCCAGCAAAGGCCTCCGGGAGGCGGCATCACAGTGCTATGACCGGCTGCGGTACTTGTGACAGAACCCACAGATCCCTCCAGCAACACCCTCACCCAACACCAACACCCTGCACCCACACTGCCTCCTCCTGAACCCGGGCATGATATGCTCCCGCCTTCCTGCAAGGGGAGTTGGGAAACTTACCTTGGAAGCAGGAGGCAACGGGAGATGCTGTTGACCTGCTGCTGGGAAGCCTAAACAGGGCAGGTGCTCGAGACAGAAGTCTGTTCTGTGGACAACACAACCAAGCCTCAGGGAGCTTCAAAACAAGCCAACAAAACCACCAACCACCCCCACCCACCGGGTTCCCCAGCTAGAAGGGGCGCGGCAGGTTCAGTCCAGCCCCAGCTGATGCTGAGTGGTACGGAGGGCGTAGATGAACATGGCGTCAGGTCATCCTGCCCGTGGCACGCATCCCGGTGGGGATTTTCACAGCAGGTAATTAGACGTGTGTCTAGACAGACCATTTCCTTCACTGTCGTTGCAACATCGTGGGTTCTCCAATCAACAAGTACAGGGAGCACAGAGCAGAGAGCCAGGCTCGAAGATGGTGCCTTCCTCCGAGGCTCTTCTCAGCCTTTGACCCTCCCTGGCTGGCTGCTGTCCAGTCTCCCAGGCTCCACCTGCCCCTCCCTTACTCTCAGGAGAACTGAGCTGCTGCCGTGGACAGAAGGGAGGTGCTACGGTGGGAGGGTCTGACTCTCAGGCCTGTGCCTGGACTGCCTGGATTTCTGGTCTCACTGCCACCACACTAATAAGTGAGGATGTTGGGCAAATTCTTCACCTCTCTTGAGTCTCAATGTCCCCTTCTGTGAAATGGGAAGAAGTAATCGATGTTTGGCAAAGTTCCGATTATTATTATTATTAAATGGGATGGGAACATGACAGCTATTTCTAAGCTGGGAGGGGCTTTCTGTAAATTAGCTATTTTAGGGTATCCCCTCTGAATGAAGCTGTTTCAATTTTGCTACAGGCATTTGCAAATGAGCCCCTGGTAAAATAGCTATGCCATAACCGGGGGGGAATGGAGTGAATGACGCCGTAGTTGGGGACATGTTGTTGTTATTGCCAAACCCAGAAAACCTATGTGTAGCTTTGCCCAAATGGTCAGGAACGTGGATGTTGGAGTCAGGTCTGAGTTTGAGTCCTGGCCTTGCCATTTTTGAGCTGTGTGACCTTGAACAAGTGTCTCAACGTCTCTGAACTTCCAGGTCTTCATTTGTAAAATGGAGATAAGCCTAGCCTGTGCCTCGTGAGATCTGGAGGCATACATGAAGCCATTTGTAGAGACAGCCACACACACTGAGAGCTCAGGGAATGGTGACGTTGCTGGAGAAGGTGAAGGAGAGACAGAGGAGCCATGTAGAAGACAGAAGGAAAGGATAGCTCTAGCTCACATCTGTGTCCATTGGGGCCAACTCCTCGTGAAGGGAGGGCAGCGAGGGAGGGAGCTGACACTGTCCCTAAGTTGCAACGGACAGAGAGAGGGAGCAGACTCGACCATCACCTTGGGACTGGAGCCAAGAGGGAGGGGCTTCCTGGCCAGAGACGTGGTTGAATAGGGAGGCAGACTGTGCCACCGCTGTTCCAGGTAGGGATGGGGGTGACAGACGCCCTCCCCCATGTGTCCTCCCACCCTGCACTCTTGCTGGGACATCCAGCTGGGCAACCCAGTGGGAAACCAGAGAGCAGGAGCTCCACTCGGTGCCCGGGCCAGGCTTCTGGGCACAGAACTGAGCCAAGAGAAGGAGAATGAATCTGGGGGGATGGGGCGCTGGGCACACAAAGGGGAACAGCCTGCACGACCTCTGCCACCCCCCTTCCTCCTGCCCAAGAGTGGCCTCCCACCGGACCCTCCAGAAAGCCATCTACTCTCCACCCCAGCCAACCTCCCCACTTCCCTGCACTGCCTCCGCTGTTCATTTAGAGTCGTAGAATTGGTTTTAATTTGCATGGTATTTATACATATCTTGTCTCAGCTCTGTGGATGTCCAAGACAGCAAACCTGGGGTGGAAGGCTGAAATGTGGAGGTTGGGACGATGGCGCTGATGTTTTGTTTCTAAGACCCCCGCCTGGGTCACCAGCACCCAAAGGCTACTGCTATGTGCAGACTGGACAGGGGATTATTGTGGACTGAGGAGGAGTTTGCATCTCCAGCCCAGATTTCAGGTGGAACATGGCAGGGGCCCTTCCTTCCCTCTCCCCTGTCTTCCCTTCTTTCTTAGGCTGGGCTGGCCAGGAAGTCTCCACCTCCACCCCCAGCCAGGGCCGCTTATCACGGGGGCCTGAAGGACATCAGCCCACAGAAGGCTGGACAAGCCCAGCTCGGTCACCTTGACCCACTTCTTTTGCTTCAAGGCCATGAAGCAAGGAACTCACATTTGCTCTTGAGAAGACTGACGCCCCAGATTCTTATAGCAGCTTGTCCTGCCTCCCTGTGAGCCACACAGATGAGCTGGACCTGCTGGCCCACAAGCCCCTGTCTGGTCCCACCTGGGAAGGGGCCTGGGGTTGCCACTCAGGGTCACTGCTCACACGCTCCAGGAAGGCAAGCTGTACTGCTTGCTGGTCTGATGATTCTTTCTATGTCTTCAGTGAAAAAATAAGGGGGGAAAACTTCCTTTCTGAAACAAACCCCACTATGAAAAACCCTAAAATATTTATTTACAGAAGCAGAAATTAAACATCTTTGCCCTTGACTGATGGGAGCAACTTTTTCATCTGACACAGACCGCTTAAAAAAAAGAAAAGAAAGCCATCCACCCTCCACCCCAACCAAGCTCCTCCCTCTCCCTGCCCTTACCTCTGCCGTCCTCCTAGAGTTGTAGAACCGGTTTTTATCTGCCTGGCACTTCTACATATCTCGTCTCGTTTGAAGCTCACAGCAACTCTGGGATGTGGTATCTTTCTCTGTATCAGAGGAAAGGAGATACAACTCAGTTACAGGACAGACCCCAAAGGCAGGCGGGGGCGGTGACCAGCAAGTCACAGGGCTCACCCAGCATACCTGACTCTAGAATTTAAAACTGTCTTCTTTTTTTTGTTGTTGTTGTTTGTTTTTTTGAGACAGAGTCTTGCTGTGTCACCAGGCTGGAGTGCAATGGCGTGATCTCAGCTCACTGCAACCTCTGCCTCTTGGGTTCAAGCGATTCTCCTGCCTCAGCCTCTTGAGTAGCTAGGATTACAGGTGCGCCCACCACCACGTCTGGCTAATTTTGTATTTTTAGTAGAGACAGGGTTTCATCATGTTTGTCAGGTTGGTCTCAGACTCCTGACCTCGTGATCCATCTGCCTCGGCCTCCCGGAGTGCTGGGAATACAGGTGTGAGCCACTGTGCCTGGTTTTTGTTGTTTGTTTTTTGTTTGTGTTTGTGTTTTAATCAGCAGATCATTGGTGCAGGAGAAGCCAGTGGACAGGCAGCTCCCAAGCAGATGGGAGAGGGGGGTGGCTGAGAATTTGGCTGTGAACACACAGTGGAGGGGTACTGATATGGAGGTGAGAGGATCCTCTCATCCCTCTGCAACCACAGGGAGCCACGGAGGGCCCAGAAGCCCACAGCACCCAGATCGGGCTCTGGGAAGTTCCAGCCAGAGCACCTGGTGTGGGATTGATTTCACCTGAGCAATGACTCCAGGTGGAACACTTGGCGGTACTGAAAATTGCAAGGGAAGTTCTGTGATAATGAGAGAGGCCCAAGCACCTCCGCACGCCTCTCTCAAGCATCCTAGTTGCCTCCATTAGCAAGCTAGAGCAGGCTTGGGCTGCAAGCCTCAGGCAAGCCGCAGCATCTAGGAAGAGTTTAATAATGGCGGTGTGGTTTCTTGCATTTATTTTTATAGCAGCTTCTGATGGTGATGAGGAATGACTAGTTTCATGGAGGTCTGTGCTGTAAAAGTGTTCTTTTAAAATAAGGTAAAGTCAGAAAATGAATTGATTTAAAGAAGAAATATTAGGGAGAGGATAATAGTATAAATGGCACACGCAGTGCCAGCGGGAACTGTGATGTGGAAGTTTGGAGAACAGTTTTCTTTCAACCAGATTGAGTGAGGGCAAATAAGACACAGCATATATTGCAAGGATCTAATTGGTCATCAGTATGTTCATTTACATTTTCAGTTCTCCCCTACTGCATGAGTTTTATTTCCCGCCAAAGCAAATAAACACATACCTGGGGGGGGGGGGGAGCGGGGGGCAGGTACAAATTAGAAACTCCTGTAGGGGACAGGAGTCTTTTCGACTCTGACCTTCTGCCCTGATTGGAGACACTCTGAGACCACAGGTTGCTCTCAGCTCTGTGGACGTCCAAGACAGCAAAGCTGGGGGTGGGTGGCTAAAACGGGGAGGCTGAGATGATGGCACTGATGCTTTGCTTCTAAGACCCCCGGGACACCAGCAGCCAAAGGCCGCCGTGTGCAGACTGGATGAGGGTTATTGTGGGTTGATAGGAGTTTGCAACACTCATCTTTTCTCACTGACTCTTGGCCATCTCCTGGTCTCCCCAAGCCCAGCCCTATCCTTGGAGAGGTGCACCTGTCAGGAATGTGGAGGTCAGAGAACGTGGGAGGAGCGAAATGCAGGTGCCAGGAGCCAGTCTCAAGGAACGTGGTTACAGAAGGCTCACATTGCACTGCAGGGCAGCAAGCATTTATTCACACTGTACCCACAGCAGTGGAATGAAGGCCATACCTGAAGCAGCTTTGTTATACTCTGGGGCTTCACTCTAACTTTCTATCAATTATCACACACTTCCAGAAAACCATACACACTCAATACCTCATCTCCGATTAATTACTGTTAATATACCTAAAGATCATCCTCAGAAATGCCAAACAATGCAACCAGTGGTTCAACACACTGTAATAAACATTTACTATGGAAAACCACACAGTCATTACAAAGCTAAGCCTATCCAAATGCTCTGCTGAGAAAAATGACCACCTCCTATCGTTAAGGGAAAAGACCAGCTTGCAGGGTACCCAGCCAACAATATTTCCTCAGTGTCCACTGCGTGGCAGGCATTGTTTTAGGTGCTGAAGATGGGGTAGTGCACAGCACACATGCCAGGGAGGGAAGACGAAAGGAATCAGTTCACAAGTAAACAGGAAAAGGAGCACTGCCACTCAGACAATGAATGAAACAGGATGTAGGAAGGAGTGACCGCGGTCCCCGTGGCAGATGGCTGTGGCCTCACTGAAAAGGTGAGACTGGAGCTGAGAAGTGAAAGATGAGTAAGAACCAGCCTGCGAAGATGTGGCAGGCAGGGCCGGACTTACCGCTCAGATGCAGGCCGAGCAAAGCTGCCGAGAGAGAATTCTGCGTCTTCCGGGACTGGAAAGAAACAGCCCCTCAGCGTCTCCACCTGACAAGACCCAGCCAGGTGTGTGGTGTTTCCACTAAGCCCACTGTTCTCTCAGGATCTCGGGGCAGAAGACTTCATCATCCTTCTGTAGAGAAACAGAAGTGGACGGCACCATTTGGAAAAGGTATTTTCTCACAGGCATGACAGTCACCTGTTAGGTGAGGTCGTCCTCACCCCTGACGTACCTCTGGAATTAATCTCTCTCTGTTCTCTTGACAGAACTCAGTACCTTATCTTCTCCTGGATTGCTTAAACAGCTGAAACAGGCCTTTTTAAGAAGCATAGTATTTAAAACAGTCATCCTAGTTCCCATGTATCGTAAATGCCTGCTGGGCATGACCTCCTCTTCACACGCCTCTTTCGGAGAGGGACTGAAACCTCCCCTTTCAGAAAGAAGGAACAGCAGGTGGCAAACAGCAGAGCTGTGATTTGAACTCAGGTCTCACCAGCTTCAGGGAGGCAAGACCATTAACTTTATACTGAAAGATATGCATTTTTAAATTGAAAACAAAGTATGCAAAGAACTCATGGGAAGCCGGAGAGGAAACAAGGAGATGGCACGGAACAGCAAAAGAAGGAGAGAAATTAGAAAAAGCAAAATCAGAAGTTAAAAATTAAAAACGTTATTTTGTGTTGAACTTGGCTTTTCTGCAGTCTAAGCGGCAGGAGCGATTCCTCTTTCTTTTCGCTAATGAGACTTCTTTCCACTGGCAGCTGGAGGCGTTGCTTTGGACGCCACATTTGACAGCCCCCTCATTGGCCTTCCTGCCTCCACTCTGGCCCCTGCAGGCCACCCTCCCTGGCTGCCGGGACATCTTCCTAGAAGGCAAACGTGGCCCCGCCACTTCCCACGGCACATCTTCTGTGGTGCCCACAGTCAGCCGGGTCAAGTCCCAGCAGGCCCCAGGCAACCTCTGCAGCCTCTCAGCCCCCGTCCCTCCCTGCAAGGAGCCCCCATCCGTCTCTGCTGGGCGTGAGGTTTACTCTCCCACGCACCCCTCTAGAATCCCCTTGCCCTGACCCCTCTTCTCCAACTCAGGAAATTCTTGGGCTCCTTGGAGGGTCGCTGTAACATCGATAGCTTGTTCTTTGCCCCTGTAGCGGCGTTCCCAGGTCTGTGATTGGCTGTGCATGAATCTGTCCTCTCGGTTACTTCCAGGACTCCGTGAGAGCAGGGCCCGTGTCCTGTTCATCTGTTTCTCTGATGCCTCATTGGAAAAGAGCATGGGAGAGGCCAAAAAATGAAAAAAAAAAAAAAAATGACAGAACAGCTTGGTAAGATATCTCTTATGGGGGTACAGGATCCAGCGGAGGTGCACAAAGAGTTACCAACAAGTGTGTGGGATGGGCAGGTCAGGGAAGGCTTCCTGGAGGAGGCGTGGGCAAGATAAAGGTTGGACTGGAGCCAGTCCATTAATGTGGTGGAGAAAAGAAATTGAGGCAGGGCTGAGGGTTCAGAGAAGCGAGGAACTCTGCCTCTTTGAGCGTGAGTTAGGGGATGGTGAGAGATGGCCTTGGATAGGTAGATAATGGTCTGGAGCCCCTGTTAGAAGCTTTAGGCTTCATGGTGAGAGGAGCAGGGATGCCTACAGGTTGTTTTCTTATGAGGAGGGAGTGGTGTGGTTGAGTTTCCATTTCAGAAAGGTTACTCTGGCCACAGAGGGGAGGAGAGATTAAGAAGAGAGGTGGCTGGCTGTCATGTTTGGTTGTATAGGTTGGGCACTGCACAACTTTAGGGGTAAGATTTTCCCCTCTCTGGTGGCCCCTGGGTACTTGAGAGTGGCTGACATCATCTGATGGCAGAGACTCTCATTGGACAGTTGTCATGGCAAGTTAGCAACTGATGCTGGGCATGGGAACACGTGGAGTGCTGTGGACACAGAGAGAGGGACATGTTGGTTCAGAGAGAGTCACAGATGCATCAACAAGGGCTCTGACCCTGCAGCTTTGAACAAGGCCTGGGGTGCAACCTGTGTGCCAGCTGGGTACCTAAGGGTGGCATCTATGGACCACCTAGAGGTGGATTTATCATGAAGCTAATGCAACTTAAGCTTCAGGACCTGAATCTGCATCGTCCTCTTCCAATAGGTCCCCAAAGTCATATGTTTTTGTGAAATGCATAAGATATTTTCATCACAGTTGGCTAAGACTGCTGTCTCCTCCTGCTCTGACTTGCCCTCCATCACCTCTGCTGGTGGCATGGGAGGGGCCACAATTTGGCTGAGGGGAGGCTGACACCTGGATCCTGGACTGTGAGCAGTAGACTGGCATCAGCAGCATTGCCAGTGCCATCAGTGTACAGACACCAGGTGTGGTGGCTTCCAGCATGTTCCTCCTGCCCCTCTGTCAACTTCCCTGTATCATGACATGGAGGTGCAGAGACAAGGGTGGAACAGGGAAGCCACCATGCCCGGTGATGCTGGCAAGAACAGGGGCAGGTGAGCATGGACAAGGTTGGAATCTGCAGAGCCTGGTCTGTGGAAAATTCCTCCAAACAGATACACATGGCTGTAAACAGAGGACTCGATTCTCTTGGACTCAGTGAAAATGGAAATTCGTTCCCATCAGGACTACCCTCAGCAATGCAGCATGTAGGATGATAAGTGTGCCACAGCTCGTAAAAATCACTTTGGTGGGAGGCCGAGATGGGCAGATCACGAGGTCAGGAGATCGAGACCAGTCTGGCTAACCTGGTGAAACCCCATCTCTACTAAAAAAAATACAAAAAACTAACCGGGCGAGGTGGCGGGTGCCTGTAGTCCCAGCTACTCGGGAGGCTAAGGCAGGAGAATGGCGTAGACCCGGGAGGTGGAGCTTGCAGTGAGCTGAGATCCAGCCGTTGCACTCCAGCCTGGGCGACAGAGTGAGATTCCGTCTCAAAAAAAAAAAAAAACAAAAAAAAAACAACAAAAAAAATCACTTTGGCGGGAATGGTATGTTTGATCAAGCTTAAGTATCCCACTAAAGTTGGAACTTAGAAAGAAAGGGATTTTGGAATATTTGAATAAAGCAAGTGAGAAATTGCAGACTCCTAATATAGATGTATCTGAAGGGTACCTTCTTTTATCTTAAATTTGTTTATTAAAAAACAATGGATGACTTAAGTAATAGAATATGAAACAAAAGAGATGAACATGAAGCATGGCACAGATCTTCCAACACTGAGAAGCAAATTATAACTGAAAATGTCCACATCATAACAGAAACAGTTCATTAAGAAGAGGTCAGCTAACATGGCGAAACCCCGTCTCTACTAAAAATACAAAAAAAAAAAACACAAAAAAAACAAAAAACTTAGCCAGGAGTAGTGGCAGGTGCCTGTAGTCGCAGCTACTCGGGAGACTGAAACAGGAGAATGGCGTGAATCTGGGAGGTGGAGCTTGCAGTGAGCCAAGATTGCACCACTGCACTCCAGCCTGGGTGACAAAGCGAGACTCCATCTCAAAAAAAAAAAAAAAAAAAAAAAGAGGTCAGCTGGGTGTGGTGACTCACGACTGTAATCCCAGCACTTTGGGAGGCCAAGGCAGACAGATCAAGAGGTCAGGAGTTTGAGACCAGCGTGGCCAATATGGTAAAACCCCATTTCTACTAAAACTACAAAAAAAATTAGCCAGGCATGGTGGCAGGCGCCTGTAATCCCAGCTACTCGGGAGGCTGAGGCAGAAGAATTGCTTGAACCTGGGAGGCAGAGGTTGCAGTGAGCTGAGATTGCACCACTGCACTCCAGGCTGGGCAACAGAGTGAAACTCCGTTACAAAAAAAAAAAAAAAAAAAAGAGAGGTCAATTTCAAATGGAAGTGATAAATTAGCACTTAGGTGACATGAAAACCTAGTTCAGGGGTCCCCAGCTCCACAGCTGCTGATGGGTACTGGTCTGTGGGCTGTTAGGAACCAGGCCTCACAGCAGGGTGAGCGCCAGGGGAAGGAGCATTACCACCTGGGCTCTGCCTCCTGTCAGATCAGGGGAAGCATTAGATTCTCACAAGAACTCGAACCCTATTGTGAACTGCACATGTGAGGGATCTAGGTTGCGGGCGCCTTATGAGAATCTAATGCCTGATGATCTGAGGTGGAACAGTTTCATCCTGAAACCATCCCCCCCACCCACTCCCATCCATGGAAAAACTGTCTTCCACAAAACCAGTCTCTGGTGCCAAAAAGTCTGGAGACTGCTGACCTAGTTATTGAAGAGAAGTGAGTAATATTAATATATTACACCAATATTTAAATTTCTTGCTGGTTTGATGGAAAATAACTGACATTCAGGTAGAAAGGATAAAATCCACAAATAAAATCACTGATGACAGATTCGGTACTGTCAATTCAAAGAGCATGTAATGTTCTTAATTGTACAAGAAAACCTGAAGTGACCTGAAATCTTACAACTCATATATGAAGGAAATCAATAGACGTTTTCCCAAATTTGATTATACTCTTGAATTTTTTACAACAGTCTCAGTTGGGATCAAAGGGCCAGGTAGAAGCATAATTATGTCATTGTGAAATGAAAAGTCATTTTTTTCTAAGCTAACTTCCAGCAAAGACGCACAAAATCACACTGTAGCCAAATACGCCACAGCAGGTGCTGATCTCTCTTCCTGTTCTCACTGTGGAAAACAATGCTGACAAAATTGTCATCGTATGAAAAGGAGCTCCTTTGGGTATATCTCTAAGAACTTGTTTTAGGAATCTCGGTGCTTCTGTACTGGGTGCATACATATTGAGGATAGGTAGCTCTTCCTATTGAATTAATCCCTTTACCATTATGTAATGTCTTTCCTTGTCTTTTTTGATCTTTGTTGATTTCAAGTCTGTTTTGTCAGAGGGTAGGACTGCAACCCCTGCTTTTTTTTTTTTGCTTTCCATTTGCTTGGTAAATTTTCCTCCATCCCTTTGTTTTGAGCCTATGTGTGTCTTTGCATGTGAGATGGGTCTCCTGAATACAGCACACCAATGGGTCTTGACTCTATCCAATTTGCCAGAAGTAGCTTACCCCAAAAGATTCTCTTGCCACTAAAATAAAGGCAGAATTCTATCTAACACATGCAGCAAAATAATGCGGAATGTGAACCTACCAGCTGCTGC